ATCTACATGACATATTGTAATCTTGTACAACAATAATCTAATAATAAATCTATCTAACATATGTCATCTTAAAAAAAAAAAAAAAAAAAAGTACAAATTCAAAAAACGTACAATAAATTCTAACAATATTTTAATCAATGAATTGGACTTTCTTGAACAATTTATGTATTAGTAAAACATAATGTTTACATGATTTAATGATTTAGCATATCACAAATTTACTAACTTTTTTTTCTGTCACTTAAAAAACCTGCCCTAACTTTTTAATAACCTCCTTACTTACTATCCGATTGTGTTTTCTGATTATATAAGCCTAATACTTGTCCAGCTGATGTAAATACAACTGAAAAATCATCGATAGAATTGTTAAGTAACTTTTTTTGCTTAGCTGGTCGTTCTTATTATTCTGGATGTTGATTTTTTTATAAGGCAACTATGGAAAGAGTCAAAAAATATGCATTGCAATTAGAACAGCAGAGATGAGTATAAGTGTTTAAATTAATAGAAGGATAGTGGGCATCATATTCAGATATTTTGAGTTTATCACAATATTCTAATATATGAAGTGAATTCAAAAAATAATCATCTTTTTCTTTTGTTACAGGTAGAAGAAATCCATTATTTTTCGCAAGAAGAATGGCTGACTCTTCATGATGTTTAAGTAAACAACAAAATGAATTTTCACATTTTTTAATATCGAGAAAATATTGACACGTCTTAGTGTGATTTTCTAATCATTGTCAGGATATAATCGATTCTTTGGTATTTTTTTACCATATATAGGAAACATGATATCTTCGAATGGAGAGCTTTTTTGATCAATATACTGTGTTGTAATCAGTTTTCTGAAGATAAGATCATGATCTCAAAGAGCACATAAAGCTTCACTAGCGTAACGCATATTTTTTATTGTAAGCTTTGAGTTAACCACTTGACCTTGAGAGTTAAAATGAGAATTATGTTTATCAATTAGTAATGTTATCCTAGCTAGCTTTTGAGAGAGCGTCGCCATACTATACTCAATAGGATTGTATACTGATTGGCCAAATGCATACGTTCGAATGAAAAGATAATCAAGATCGAATGCATAGAATATTCTACAATATTGAAAGATATTCTTCATGTAGCGTGAATTTTCATCAGGACCTCCATCGACTAAAAGAATCCAAATAGGTTTAATTTGGCCATTGACTTTTAGTATCCCATTAAAATAATTGTTTTTTGTCAATAAATTTAGATCACTCATATGAGAGGTTGAGCTTGTGCTAATTTGATATTGTGGACGTATAAAAATCGAAAGTTGGCCATTATAAAAAGAATTATTTGTATCACTTGGATTAATAAGTAAGTAGATTGATGGAATAAGTTTTTGCTGCATTCCAATCAGAAAATCATGATCAAGTAATGTAACTGGTTCTCGAAAACTTTGCATTGTTTGAAAAGTTCTTCTAATCACAGGAATGCCAAGAGAAATTTTGGCTTTGTCATCTTGAGAAATAATAACAGAATGGATTAGAAATAAGGCAGTGAATTGTTTTGCTCCTTTTACAAAAGCAAGACAATAATACTCATCAGAGTGTTCCTTTTTTCATTTTGAGAAACAGACACAATTGCGATATTAACCAGATGGTGATGAGCCTTTGCTGCTATAGAATTTAACTGAAATGGTAACAGGTAATTATTAAGGGTGATGCGAAAAAGATATTTGTTATATTTTGAATTGAGTTCTTCTTAAAGATGACAGATGGTCCTAACTTTAATAACTTCTTTTCTTATTTTTTATCTGCAGCTCTAAATTCAATACATTCATGTATATATTCATATATATATTCATGTAAATCAGGATATTAAATTAAAAGAAGTAGATAATCAGGTGAATCGTATTTTATTATTTTTTGATTTTCTTGTAAAAGTTTCACTTTTTTTCCCTACTTTTACATTGATAACTTGCTTGACGCTTAATTTTATTATCTTCATTATGTAAAATTTCCTTAAAACTTGCTATGCACTCCATTAGATTACATCAAATTTCTAAATTATTAGGGTATGCCAGAAATCAGCTGATTTAAAGGGATGGAGGGTCAGTCTTTATATCAGATGAGTATAGTCACGTGATATACTTAATATAAAATGATTGGTCAGTTTGATTTGGCTAAAAATATTAGTAAAAATCACATGCTGAATAAAATGATTGGTTAGAATTATAATATTCACATGTCGAGTGCAATCAAAAAGCATTTTATTAATTTTATTATTTTATTCAATTCCTATATTTTATTACGACACGACACGACAGAGTCACATATTATATGTAAGGATATTTTAGTGTTCGACGTTATTACATCATCACATAAAACTAATATAAAGCCAACTTTTTCTTCTTTTTTTTAATCTTCGTCTGACTGAACTTCGCGAGAATCCTGTTCAACTTATTTCATACCTTTGCTTTGAACTATATCTTCAGCGACGTTAAAATTTAGATTGAATGGAATAAGCACACAACTCATTTCCGTCTTGTTAGCTTGTTCCTGAGGGCTTTTTAATTTCTTATTGCGACGTCTAGAATGTACACTACGCTTATAGTCACTTATGAACTTGAGAGTTGGAAAATATTTGCCACATATGCTACAACATAAATGCTGATGTAATTCTCGTGAAATTGAAGGGCAGCAGCTATTGTACTTTGGAATTTTGAGTTTATCGTGATATTAAAGAGCATGAATTGGGTTGATGAAGTGACTATCTTTTCCTTTCGTAATTGGAAGAAGGAATCCATTATTCTCATTTAAAAGGATGGCAGCATCTGGAGATCTATATACATCACAACATTCATTATTTTTATATTTTCTTATATCCAGTGAATAACGACACATCTGCATATGATCCTCAATCCACTCCCACGATATTGAAGGCTTAGGATCATTGAATGGATGTCTCTCCTGGTCGATATATTCCACCATCACAGGTTTTCCATATATGTCATCCCTTTTCCATATATCACGTAGTTTTTTTCCTGAATATTCAAAATTCCGTCATGCTAATTCTTCATCTACTACTTTCTCTTAACTATTTAGATGTGATCCGAATTCCCTACAGGTAGAGTGATACCAGCAAGTTTTGCAGATAAAGAAGCCATACTGCGTTTGACCGGGTTATACGCACTTTGACCTAGAGCATGAGTACAAATTATCAAGTAGTCCAAATCAAGGGCACGGAAAAGGTGAGCATATTAAATAATATTTTTCATATACTTCAGGTTTTCATCAGGTCCACCATCAACAAGAAGAATCCAAATAGGTCTAACTTTGCCTTCTTTCTTTAGGGTAGTGGAAAACTCTTCATTCGAAACGATACTTTCTAAATCTACTATATGGGTTGTTGATGAAGTTCCAATGAAATATTCTGGCCTAATGAATATGGAAAGCTGACCAGTACAAAGGGTATTGCTCGAATCAGTTGGATTAATGACTAAATAAACGGAAGGTATGAGTTTCATTTTTGAACCAGTTGAGAAATCGTAATCTTCGATAGTTACTGGTTCATTAACTGACTGGATTGTTTTGAATGTGCGACCAACTGCGGGAATGCCCAATCCAACCTTTGTCTTATCATCCTAGGAGATGATAATCGCCTCATTAGCAAAAACTTCAGCAAATACTCTTGCGGTTTTGACGGAAGCTAGACAGTAATGTTCATCAATATGAGGCTTCATTTCTGTCCGTGATATGGAGGCAAGACCAACCTTTGTTGGATGATGATGACAACGTGCAGCAAAGATGTGCTGGTTTCGGGGTTGAAGATAAGTTGATAAGCATTAACGAGATAGATAAGTATTATATTTTTCTTCTAGAGTTTCGCGTAAATGCTTCACGGTCCTAACTTTTATGACCACTTTTCTTCATTTAGTATGAGCAGCTCCAAACTCAACACTATCATAGATTTTATTCTATAGATCTGGATCTTTCATAGTCACGGATGGTCTTCCTAGAGTATCATATTTTTTACAATACCCTCTTCTAGCAATTTCTGTTTTTTTGCTGCTAGCCTTGATTTAGCTTCAGCATAACGTTTCAGCTTTGTTAGCTGTGCATTTTGTATTGATATATTTTTTTGTTCTTCAATTATCTTAAATGATAATAAAACTTTCATTGAGTCATCTGTAGCGATCTCTATCATTCGTTGATATTCAGCTAGGCTTTTTGCAGCTGAATTGATTTTTTCAGCTGCAATATATTGTGATTTGGCATTTGGTGGTATTGTTGTAGTGTCAACAAACTGTCTTAGAGTGGATGGAGTAGAGGTTTGATGAGAACTGTTAGTTAAATCACGTGACATAAAAATTCTTTGATGAGAGCGAATAGTGGAAGGTGTGGTGTCATAATATTCCTGAATTTTATTTTCAATAAAGGCAGTATCATTTTTTTTAACTTCCTTCCAAGCTGCTATACATTCTTGCATTATTTTTTGACGAATTGGCTTAGGGTCACAAAGTATTGCTTGTTTATAATATGCATATGCATTGCAAAATTCTTGATATTTATCTTGGGGTTGCTTATAAAAAAAGTTTTTGTTAAAGTTTGATGCTTTCAAAAAACTTTGCATATTGGTTTGAAAAAAAAGAATGCAAAGAAGAATGTAAGAGCGCGTTTTCGCATTTTTTTCTATGGATTTTCCAAGGATTTTATACACATCACATTGCATTAATCATCACCTCAATGCATAATATAAATAATTGTTATACAAATAAATCGCGTCTTAATTCTTTTATATTGATTTTAGAATAATAGCAAAAAGGAACTTATGGATCAAATGATAACTTTATTTATTAATTTTATTTTATTTATTTGACTACTTACTATTTAAATATTCTAATTTAACTATTTTATATATGATTTTTTTTAGCCAATCAAAATTGATTATCAGGTGGGGGGTGGGGGGTTGGCTTTATAATAAAGTGAAATCAGCTGATTTCTGATACGCCCCTTAGTAGAATTATAAAGATGCTGAAGTTCTGTAAGTTTTATATTAGTTGTATTGATAGTTTTTATGGCTTTTTTTATGCAGTAGCATTGAAAGGTGGATTGGTATCAACTACAATAATCTCTTCTATTGGCTTTTAAATGACTTAAGTAAACTTTGAACTTTGAGACAGGCTAGCTCGTGAATAATTAGTTTGCAAAAAGCTTTAGATTGAAATTGGAGTTACCAAATATTCATAAATTTTATTTTCAATTTTCTTCTGAAGTTTATTCTAAATCTCCTTTTACGCATTAGTGCATTCTGTATATAGGCTAATTTTTAGGTAAACAGAATTTTTTGCGTTTACCATACGTTGATAACTGAAAGTATTACAGAACCTCTGATATTGATTTATAGGAGTTTTATAAATATAAAACTTGTTGTATTTTGATATAGTTAGAAAAGATTACATGCTAAAGTTTTGGATAAAGAAATCAAAAAGTAGTGATCAGAGATGCGATTAGTACTATATTTATAGATATGATGAATATTAATAATAAGTTACGTGTATCAGTTGCAAAAGATACAATGAAATTATGAACTAATATTACAAAGGTAATGTTTTTTATTTATAATATCAATATAAAATAATATTAATTATAATTCAAGTTTATTATTTTATTAAATTAAACTAATGCTGATTACATAGATGATGATGAACTGCTTAATGATAGCAATAAAGTAAAATGTGAAGGGCTACAAGATAAAATAATTATCTATCTTATTAATAATTTATGATACTAAGGCAAATTAACTTTTAACATTAGCAACTTTTAAGTTTATAATAACTAAATTATTCAGAATTCTTAAAAAAGCAGCTTAATTTTTTAATAGTATCCTTCAACAGTATCTTTTTCTTTATTGTAATTTATTGTAAATATGAAATGTAATGCTTAATAATAATTGGCTGAAATAAAAATTTAACTATCACGTGATATTAGAGTCTTACCTGGGGGAAGGAGGTCAGATCTATAGTAATCTATAATTACGTTAAATATGTAAGCTCCCTAACTATATTCTGTGATTTTCAGTAAAATTTTGTAAAATACAAAAATTTATTGTCATTATTATAATATTAATTTTACTAAAAGTAAGAATATTACTATAAATATTAGCAAATAAGTTTAATACAAAATCAAGAAATTATACGAAGACTATCAAAATTTTATTAATGATGATCATATAGATTCTCTTTAAGTTAAATCTTAACTTATCATCTGCATACGCTTGAATACAAAAATTTGATTATATAAATATAATTTATAAGATCAAATATATCATCATTCTTTTAATATTTTAGATCATCACTTCTATAAAAATTAATAAAAGATAATTATATTGCTTTTTAATAAGATCATATATTATCATATTAATGATATAAGATTTTTAGTGCTCGTTGAACTAGTGATAAAAAGTATAGCTACTTAATCCTATTATCCTATTTTAAATATATATTGGTGATCAATTTTATGTAGTATTAATCATTAGAAAACTTGAGTATGATTATTTAGTAATAAGATAAGGGAATATTTTTATATTATTCATTTAAATTTGAATTATTTTAAAGAAAATAGTAGAAAGATGATTAGTCAAGATATTCTATTCATATTAATATATAGTTATATAGTTTTGTAAATCAATTAAGAAATTAATATACAAAGATAGAAATTTCTACAGTGTATTGATTTAAAAAAGCTTTATAATTAAGTTTACTTATATAAGTATATTTAATAATAATTATTAATATAATATAGGTTTTTATTTTTAATTTTGAGGTAATAGTACCTAATTATTATATCTTTTGATTATTTATAATATAATTCTACAACTCATCATGATAAATTTAATAGGTTATTATAGAAATTATAACAGTATAATTGAGTAACATTTATAATATTAAATATATGTAAGGTTTTCAAATTTGAGAAGATGAGATCATCAGAAATATTTCATAATTAAGTTATTATGATATAACTTTTTGTCATCTTCTTTCATAATATAAAAAAGAAGTATTAAGTATAATCTTGTGAGAAAAGATTCAGTAGTAAAGTATTTATAATTACTAATATTCTGCATATTTAATGTTCTAAATGAAAAAGTATCAGATTTATTGAGCTGAACCTTTGTGTAATAATATATTCTTTTAACAAATCATTTTTGTAAATGTTAAATATATAAAATAATTTTGTTATATATTTTATTATATAGTGTATAAATTCTTATTTATAATATATTATACATTTATATAAAAGTTTCTTATTAATTAAACATTTGTATACAACCTAAAGTTATTATTTTTATAATAAATTATTGGTTCATTTTGCATATTTGATTAAGTAATATAAGATCTGACATTTCTTATTATAAGTGTAAATTTAATTTATCACAATTGTAATATAAAATTCAGATTCATACAAAGGATTTAGTATCATAAATCAGATAATATTGTTCGTAATCATATTTTTAATTGTATTAGTGATCTAATAGTAGCTATGTATATACACTATATTTTAGATTTAATATTTGATCTAATTAAAAAATTAGTGATATTATTAAACTTAGTAAAATGCAACTTTTTGTAAAATTCTTTTTTTAAAGATAAAAATTTGTGAACGAAATAATAGCATAATAAAAGGATCTATTAATAAGTAATGTATCTTTATTATTATTATTAGAAAAATGCTATCTATTAGTTTTCAACTATGCTAAGAATTATAAATAAGGTTAGAAGGCTAATTTTTCCTAACATCACATTTAAATAAAATTGTTTTTACTAATAAATATTTTCTATTCTTTTTCCTTAAACTATAGAGGTTCACAAACAAATTTGCTTGCAAAATTTCTAAAATTTAAGTTGTATCTATTTTTTAACCTTTTATTAATCAACATAAAAAAAACTTTTATTTTTAGATAATCCTTGAAGTATTGTTTCAAAGTAATTTTAATTTTTTTATAGTAAAAAGGTAGTATTTAACTACATTCTAAAAATAGACAATTTTTTATTCAGAATAAAATTAGTAAAAATTTTTTTATTCACCTTAATGATCACTTTAATTATTTGCTGTAGCTATGTATATTATATACCAAAAATATTAATTTTGATATGCTTTACATTAACCAATAATATAAAAAATTCAACTTTATATAATAACAAAATTACTAATTAATTGTTATTGTTCAGAAATTATATGAAATTTCTTAAAACATAAATATTGCTTATTACAGCATAATATTATGCCACATTTATTACATCAAATATTGAATTAAGGAAGATTTTTTGAAGTTTTTTCTCTATTTTTTTTAGACCTATAATGGCATCATAAATAAGCATCCCTATTTTCTTTATATTTTGAAAAATGATTATTACCAATAAATCTCTTTAAAGGCAATTCAAAACTATCTGTAATCTGTATTTTTTATATATTAATTTTTCTTCATTGAAATTTTGATCTTTAGAACTATATATTATTCACTTTAAAGGATTAATTATTACATCTTTAATTAAATCACAAATTAATTATAATCTAAAATTCTTATAATTATCACATAACTCTAATTCTTTACAAATGAAAAAGGAGTTTATGATAAAAGTGTCAAGTAGTTAAAAGAACAGCAACATTTATGTTTTACAAATAGTTAGTTGTGTAAAATAATACTCCATATCTCTCATATAATAATTATAATCGTTAATAATTTTTGGTATGGGTAAAATTATTTGAGCAAAATTTTCAAATATTAACCTAACTTTATTACTATTTATGCTAGTTTTTTGTGATCTTTTTCTATTCTTTTTAATTCTACTTTTATCTCTGTTAATAACATGTATTATTGTTAATATAATTACAAGACCATTATCAATTTATAGTAATAATAAAACATTATTTACTACTATAGCCTTTAAAAAATCTCACTCAAGATCTTTTTTTTTTCTTTTTTAAAATAATAGGAAATTTTGTTATATTAGTATAGACTGTGTCATATACTCCATAATCTTTATTTTGAAAAAAATTAAACAAATTGATACTTGAAAAATAATTATCCATAAATATATTAAATGCTTTATAAGATAATAGCTGACTTACTAAATAATAAACTTCAGCTCTAATTTTGTTAATATTAAGAATTAAATTAACATCTGAAGTTTTAATTCATAATATAAACATAAAATGTAAGTATAATCAGATTTACATAAAGATAGAATTTTATAATTCTTTGATGTAGATTTATTTTTGATTCAGAATGTATAACTATTATACTTAGAAAGTTGAATGATTATCTCATCTATAGATATGTTTAAAGATAAAATATAGAGTTATTTTAAAGTATTATGAATATATAATGTAAGAGATTTAAGTTTCATGAACATGTTTGATAGTTGAGGTTGAGTACTACAATCTGAAATATATAGATATTGCTTAATGTAATTTTTTAACAAAAAAATTAATTAAAATTATTTAAAATAATTGAATATAATTAAAAAATTACTTATCTGTTGAAATTTAAATAAGGCTATTAGTTTAGTTATTTTATATGATAGATAATATATATCATCTTTTCAATAATCTTTAACTGATAAAAACTTAAATAAACCTATGTAGATTATTAATGTTAACCATAATTTAAGTTCTTTGATTGTTAATTTAATCCAATTATGACCATCACTTACTAAATTACTTTTTCCAATTTTACACTATATACATAAATATATATATTTATATTATTTACAATAATTTTCATTTGTTGATCAAAAAAATTTAAGAAAAATAAGATAAGGTTGAACTTCTAAATCAATAGATAAATTTGAACGTATTTATATAAAGGATATATATGTTAAAATGAAACAAAACTTTCTGATAATTTATAATGGATTCAGTTTGTATATTTTTTTTAGATTTTCCTTTACCTTTCTTCTTTAGTTTATCAGATTCTAATATTTCAGCCATATCATCTGAATCATGATTTCGAATAAATAAACAAAAATAAAATTCACTCTATGTAGAATCAAACATAATGAAAAAATAGATCACATGAGAAAATTATTCAAAGAACAAACTTTTAACAGATTTGAATAATTCAAAAAGTTAATAATTATTGCAGGCAAATTTGTCTGCTTTACAATTGAGAATGCATAGGTATTTAGATCTGTAATAAAAAAGGCAAGCGCAGTAAGATTAAAATAATTAACATATTCATTATAATATTGTAAATAGCGTAATAAATATATAAATTTATATCTAAATTAATTAGTAATTGTT